CGAACTGAGCTGAGGTTAAAGGAAGGAGCTGCTTTCCAAAGCGCTTTGTTCTGCAACAGTAAAGGATGTGTCACACCAATTCAATTCAAGCTTTCTACTCCTTCCCAAAACATAAACATTTGTTGCCTGTTTCCCAGGAGTTCTGTCTTCAAAGGGCTCCCCAAAGACTCCTCATCCAGGGAAGCCAACGCACCTCTTGGAGCCGGGAGTCGCTTTCTGCACGGCAGAATTGAAGAAGGCGTCGCTGAAGAAGTCGAGGGAGCCGCTGAAGACGACGCGGGCGTTGTTGCGCGCCTGCAGCCCCGCGATCAGCAGCGTGTTCTTCCCCACGGCGTGCGGGTACTGCGGAGCAAACGGGGACAGGGCTGAGCCCACTGGGGATGCACCGACAGCAGTTTGCTGTGGGGTGGGGCAGTCTGGATGGAGTAGCACTGGCTGCAGTCAAGGAGTAACCATGAAGCTCAGAAAAAGCAGGAATAGGATTCTGGTACCACTCCAGCTGGGATGGAATGGGAGAGATGCTTTGATCTAGGCTGGCCTCTCCTCCAGAGCATGAAGGACATGTGTCCCTCACGCTGAACACCTCCTCACCAGCAGAAAGCAGCGAGGAAGGGAACATTGGGAAGCAGCCAACAGCCCAACCCTTTCCAAATTAATCAGGAGATCAAACGCTCCAGGATTTCCCCAAGCAGCTGAAGTTAGAGGGACTAAATTGCAGAAGCACAGCTCAAAACAGGAGAGAAAGGGAGGGAGTGTACCTGAGTGATGGGCTTATCTGGGAAGAAGGAGTAAGAAGTGGAAGAGCCAGTCAGGATATCCAGCACCAGTGGGTTGTCAGGGTCAGCCACCATCCTAGCAGGAAAAGCCACGGTGAGCAGCACGAACACCCCCAGGGTCCCCGCACCCAGAGGAATGTGGGGCCACCTCCTCAACCCCATGGACCTTCTCACCCTTCTACCTGCTGAGAAACTAAATACTTCTTCCACTATTTTCTTAGGAACCATTCCTAAGTCAACAACTAAACTCCTTCTACTTTCGTTTGAAATCAAGAGAGATTTGTTAAGCTCACATTAAGAGCCTCAGGGGCTGACCCCACGCTCACCTCGCAGCAACACCACAGGTTCAACTGCCCTTCCCCCACGTCAGCCCTGCTGCTCACCCAACTCCTCGGAACAGGATGGGGTTCAGTGCTGCCCTCCCCACAATGGTGGGCGCCTTCAGGAGGTTCTCAGTGTCGGCCACAATCAGCGTGTGCTGGGGAAAGAAGAGAGATCCGTGTGAGGTGAGTCTGGGTCTAATGACAAACAACAGCTTCTCAGTTAAAAGTTTACTTTACAGACAATTACAACTGTTGGGTGAATGTTGTAGTTCAATTAAAAAGCAAAACAACAGCATTTTTGTGTTTATGATCAAATTAGGTTAATACTGATCTTCAAGGAAATACAAACTGCCACTTGATAAAGACAGCAGCACCAACAGTGTTTTATTTCCCTGCATTTAGCAACCTTCATCCTCAAACCAGGACAACATGCACGTATGTACTGCTTCAACAGTTTACCTTAAACAGAAATTACCAGAGTATATTTACCTCAGAATTTAATATATGTTTTAATTTTAAAATGCTGGATTACACCAGGCAGGCCCAATTGCTTGTATTTTTCTATACTGATCTGAAAATCTGGAACTGAAATTCTCCCTTCCCACACCTGAAGCGTTGCACTTGGTGCCTGACACGCTTCACCCTCAGGTGAAATTCCAAGCTTTGGAGGGATCCAGAACCAGCATTAACCACAGCCCCACCGCCTGCACATGGTGACCATCTGAAACTAGAGCCTGAAGCATCCTGACAGCAGCAGAACTGAATGCAGCAGCAGGGATTATTTCCCACTCTCCCCTGGGAGGAGCAGGGGAGAGAAGGGAGAGAGGAAAGACGGGAGGACAAGGACAGAGGAGTCACCCCTCAAGCTCTGCACCCACCCAAGCAGCCAGGAGCAGGCAAGGCCCTCACCTGGCCGGGGTCGGAGATGTCGTAGTTGTGGTGGTCGATGACCGCTGTCCTCTCCTCATCGAACTCGATCCCACACTCGCTGCCCAGCTCTCGCAGGGGGTCGCCTGCAGGGACAATGGATCCTCTGTCACACAACACAGGAACTCAACAGTAAATTCAGCTGAGAGTCGTGTGCTCAATGCTCTATGAGCCAAACCCCAGGGAGCAACATGACCTCTCCACTGAAATCCCACTGAACGTGTTACTAAAGGCATGAATGACCCATTTCCTCCCCGAGCAAGCTCTGAGGTGACAAGGAGCAGCTGGTTTTGCTGCAGTGAGTGAATTCTCTGGAGGAACACCTGCACTCACCGATGTCTGAGCTGGCGGCGACGAGGACGCTGCCACCGCCGTCGATGAACGCGGTGATGGTCTCCACATTGATGTTCCCACCAAAGTCTGAAAGCAAACAGCAGGAATTCATGGCTGGAGCTCAGAAACAACCTCCCGGCAGAATTAAACCATGGCAAATCACCAAATCAATGGAAGAACCACCAATAAAGGCTTGGACAGTGCTGCAGTTTGCTACTGAGTACATCCAAAGCATAGGACTTAAATAAAATTCACAGAACAGCTGGAAATCCCCTTCCAAAGATGCCATGAAGCTCCAGAGGTTTCCCCTGCACATTTACCTTCTATGGATGGGGAGAAGATGATGAGGTTGTCGTACAGGAACTCCCCGTACTTTATCAGGGACAGACCGGCGTCATCCGCTGTCCGGAAGGTGAGGTCGAAGCCCCTGTCTGCAGCAGGACACAAAAGGGACAACTTCTGCATGCCATGAAACCACACATGGAGCAGCAAAACTGCAGCAGGAGCCAGAGGTTTATCTCCCCAGTGAAAGAACAGTTTGGAAACACTGCTTTTTAAGAGCAGGGGCTTTTTAAGAGCAGCACTTGAGAGTTCCTAAATAAACCCAAGGGGTGGATCCCCTGAAGAGCCCTGATGCCAAAGGATGCCTCGCTGTCACCCATGAAACTGGGACTGATTCTGCAGGGGACCTAAACACAGGCACAGCTGGGAAAACAACCTCCATCTCCTGCCTCATTCTGACCAGAAGAGCCCAAGCAGTCACCCCCCTCCTCCAGGGATCCCCAATCTCCTCCCTCAGACTAGCACAGGGTTCCCAGTCCTTTCCCTCTGCCTGGCCAGGGTACCCCCAGCACCTCCCCCTACACCAGGGAACCCCAATCTCCTCCCTTGGCTTGGGGTTAAAAAAAAAAGAGTTTCTTCTCACTCAGCCTGACCAGGGAACTCCAACAGCACCCCCCTCACAATCTCCTCCTTCAGCCTGACATGGGGACACAAATCTTCTCCGTTGTGACCAGGAGAACAAGCCCCTCTCCCTTGCAACACCAATCTCCCTTTCTGCTTGACCAGGGAACCCCAATCTCCTGCCCCATTCTGACATGGGGAACCCAATCTCCTCTCTCATCCAGGCACAGCGTCCCCATCACCTCCCACAGACTGACCAGGAGACCTCAAACCCCCCGTTCTCCCTCAGGGGACCCCGATCTGCTACCTCAGCCTGACAGGGGACCCCAATCTCCTCCTCCACTCTGACACAGGTACCCCAAACACCCCCGCTTTTCCGCCTGGAAACTCCAATTTCCTCCCTTTGCCCGGTGCAGCATCCCAAATCTCTCCCTCATCCTGAACAGGGAACCCCAAGAGTCCCCTCTGCCCTAGGGGATCCTCATCTCTCCCCCATCCTGATGAGAGGACACAGCCCCTTCCAGCAAGGGACCCCTGGCTGCGCCCTCAGCCCAGCCAGGGGACTCCAATCTCCTCCCTCGGCCTGACCCGACGACCCCAGACATCCCCTGTCCCCTCGGATAACCCCAACCTCCTCCCCGATCCTGACCCTGGGTCCACAACCCCGCTCTCCCCGCCCCATCCAACCCCTCCCGGGATCCCGCCGCGGCCCGCTCGGTACCCGCGAGGCTCCGGAAGAACATCGAGTGCGTGTCGCGCAGGTTCCCGTTCTCCAGCAGCACCAGCGTGCGGGGCCCGCCCTCAGCGCCCGCCGCCAGCACCGCCAGGAGCCCACACACAGCCACAGCGGCCGCCGCCATCTTGCTCCCGGTCGCCGAACTACCCCAGAGGCGGGCAGCCTCCAGCCAATCAGCGCCAGCGCCGAGCAGCCTCCAGCCAATCAGCGCCAGCGCCGAGCAGCCTCCAGCCAATCATCGACAGACAACTCCGCGACGCTGGGACGCAGCGCAAGCGCGTCGCGCCCCGTCGCTGTCGCGACAGCGCTATCGCGACTCAGCGCGGCCGCCGCCGCCGCGGACAAGGGAGGGCCCGGGCCGCCCATGCCCGCGGTGGGTCAGAAGCGGCGGGCGCTGGAGCTGGCGTTGCCCTTCCTGCGCTTGGTGTCGGCGCTGGGCGCCAGGGACTGCAGGCGGAAGGGCCGGGCCGGGGCGCGGTGCCGGTGCTGCCCGCAGCCCCCTCGGAACCCGCGGGAGCTGCGAGAGGAGAGGAAGGGGCTGTGGTGGGTCAGTGCAGGACGCCAAAATGCGGCTGCGTCCTGCGAGAAACCCCTGAGAGGTCAAGGGGTTGAGGCAGAGTTGATCCTGGGTGGGTTGCCGTTTGGTTTCTCAAGGAAAGGGAGGAAAATGAAGAGTGCCGGCAATATCTGGGAAAAGGGAATTACCTTGGTCCAGCTGAAGGATCTGGCTGGCTCGCCGGGATCGGAAGTAGTTGCTGGCGATGGTCTCGCTGTCGCTCCTGTCCAGCACCAGCCTGTAGTGGTCTTCCTCGGGCTGCAGGTGGCAAACGCTGTCAGCAGAGCCAGCAATAAGGCAAAACTGGTAAAATGGGATAGAAATGGAGGAGGGATGGGCCGTACCGCTGGCTCCTCTCATTCGAGGGGCTTGTCCGGCCAGGTTTGGGCTGTGGCAGGGCTGGAACCGCTGTGGGAAGAGATGGTCGCTGTGTGTACCCTGCTGGCTGCACTCCCTGATCCCGGCACTGCTCACATTCCCGAGGGATCCGCACCACGTGCCACCTTTGTTACTCACACTTTCCAGACAAACTCTGGAAGATGTTACGAGTGCACGCAGCCCAAGCGTGGCAGAGCCATCGTCACCTCCCTGTCCCCCACAGCGCCCTCCTGTCCCCGGGCGCTGTCCCCTCACCTGCGGGCAGGTGGGTTCTTTGAGTGACAGGCTCTGGAATTCTCCAGCAGCCGCTCTCCTCGGCCCGCACGGACTCACACCGGATCCTCTCCAGGTTGCTGTAGTTGCAGTCCCGCCGCACAAGGGACTGCACCTGATCCAGCAGCTGCTGGCAGAGCTGCAGGTCTCGCTCCTGGCGCCGGATGGTGCTCAGGTAATCCATCTTCTCCAGCCCAAACTCCAGCTGCAGGTCTTTGATCTCGGTCTCTGGACACAAAACACCAGGGTTATAAGGCAGAGAGACCGATGGATACTACAAGTACAGGAATTTGCCAGGCAGAGAAAGACACTCAGGAAAGCTTCAATATTTGGAAAGTTTTCTAATTTAGGTACAAATTAGGATGAAATATGTGTGAAGAGATTATTCCATGTCTGTTTTAAAGAAAGTTTTCTCATGTTTCTCCACAGGGATGATTTTTGAATGAACCTGAAGCTAATCTTACTGATGTGGTCTTAGAACTCCTGGAATTTCTTAGCTTTTTGGTTAAAAGGTGCAATATTTCTTTGATAATCTAAATGCCCAAATAAAGTAAGTCCTTCATGTGCAGGTCTAGGACTGTACACACAAATGTCAATTTTTTTGCAGACCCTCTGATTATACCACAAAATATCAGAGCAAAACTGATTTTCAAGTGTTTTGAAAATGAAGATTTTAAATGTAAAATTTAAGATCATTACTTTTATGTTTTGTTTCTTGCCCCAGAAAGCGTGCTCAGAACTGGCAGCAGCTGCAGCAGATCTGTAGGTCGGCAGAGGGAGTCGCATCCCCTCCCATCCCAACACGTGCTCCTCCCGCCAAGTGTCACACACTGAGCCTTTACAGCTGGGGGGTTTGGGCTTCAAAAGCTTAATCCCCCACCTGAGGGATTTTATAGAAGCCCTCACACACAGTGTGGTGTATGAAATACTGACACAGCCAGAGTCATTCTCTAAACCCACAGCCCTAAACCCTGTAACATAAAAAAGGAGGATGTGGAGGAGGAAGGAGCCGCTCCCTCACCTTCTCCAGCGCCTTGCTCTTGGCTCGAACCTCCTCCTGGATGGAGTCGCAGACGTTGAGGAGAGCCTGCTCCTGCTGTCCTCGCTGGATTCCTGCAGGGCAGCCACAGCTGCAGCCTCCGCTTGTCCGCGGGCTTCTTCCGGCGTTCGTGCTTTTCCTTCAGGTCCTCGTTCTGAGCCTGCTCCCCCCGACCACCTGCAGCCTGCAGCAGGGAACGCTGAGCTCAAGAACCAGCTTCACAGGAGTGGAGGAGGCACGTCCTTCCATGGGTGACATTTGGGAAGAGAGAAAATTGGGAATTATGATAAGATTTTCTGCCCTGAGTAATCATAGCGGATTCTACTTATTATTAACACTTTCTGTCATAGAAAGAATCCCAGAATCCCAGAGTGGTTTGGGCTGGAAGGACGTTAAAGGCCATCTCACTGCACCCCCTGCCATGGGCAGGGCCACCTCCCGCTCTCCCAGGTTGCTCCAACCCTGTCCAACGTGGCCTTGGACACTTCCAGGGATCATGGGGCAGCCACAGCTCCTCTGGGCAAAATACTCCACAAAGGCAAAGCATGTGCTACTCCAAGCACTCAGTCAACAAGGATGTCCAGAAATCCATATCTAAGCTCACAAAATTATCTTTAAAACCCCTGATTTGTGTATTTTATATTTAAATCCTTATTTAAATAAACATTTAATTATTTTTTCAAAGATGCACAAAAGGTGCCAAAATTACACAGAGAATTATTTTAACTGGTGGAGGTGGGAGTGCTACATCTGAAAGCCTCAGTGTGGCTTCCATTTTGGGGCAGTATCAGCCATGATTTGTGTCACCTCAGCGTTGTTAATGCAGCACTGGCACAGGCCTGTGTTTGAAATAATGCTCTGGCATGGAAATAAAGCCACGCTCCAGAGCCATTCCTTTGTCTAGCTCAGCTTGGCCAGCACTGTCTCAAATTGGCTGATAACCCCTTTACTGATAACAGCCTCCTAATTATCTCCAAACCCTGTGAAAAGGCTCATTCTCCCCCAGAACTGACCTGCTATTCTGCTGCACTGCTCCTGCCAGGCGACCTTCCCTCTCCTTTGCTTAACACACACTGAATCCAAGGATTCAATCCTTGCTCTGCTGAGCTGCCCTGATGCGTAAAGCTTGAGCAGGGGGCTTTGAAATCCCCTCACCTGTGGAACAAACCCTCCTGCCCAATCTGTACAGAACCTGGATTTAACAATGTGATTAGAAGGGCATTCTCCCTTGCTTACCACAAAAGGAATAGGATTCATTCTTGCAATAAGACCACTAACATTTGATATCAAATCCAAATGAAGGTTTTCTTTGGAGGGCTCTCCCTTAAGAGACAGAATTGCCCACAAATTACAGACACTGCTGTTCTGCATTTCATAGCAGCTCCTTTTTGAGACAGGAGAGACTCAACAGAATGAGCACACACCACAGGAAAGCTGAGAGACTGGTTAAAACCCACAGAAGGACTGGTTAAAACCCACAGAACTGTTCAGAATCAGACTCTGTCACAGCTTTTCTAATTGTCTATAGTTCCACACAATGGAGTAAGTGAAAAATCAGCAGAATTTGCTTCAATCGTGTATTTCTGGAGCAGCCCAAGCCCCCATGCTGCTTCAGTATGTGGTGGTGTACTCTGGCTAAGGGAATTCTCTCAGGACAGCTCTCACAGAGAGAAAACCTTGAGCCAGGTTGATTTTGATTTGGGCTGAGCACGAGTCCAAGCCTGCATCCCTCATATCCCAGCCCTGTCCTCCAGGCCCTGACAGTGCCCCTGAAATAGGATTATTGGGAAATTTTGCTGTTAGTTGTGGATGATGTGCTGCAAACACTGTGAGATGCGTGAGCTGGAGGCAAAAGTGGCCTCAGTGATGGGAAGAGTCCATCCATGAGCCACAGGACAGCTGCTGCCTTACCTGTAAGACATGAGAGGGCTCCAAGTGCCCTTCAAGGCCCTCTTTCAAGAGGAAAAGGAGGCATCTCCATAACCTGTGTGGGCATTTAAGGCTCCTCTGCCTGCAGCTCCAGGCAGGATTTGTTACCAGGAACACACACTTTTTGGGATCCATGTTTGCTGACTTGAACATCTCCATTTTTCTCTCATAATTCTGGCACATGGCCTCACTGAGCACTGCAGAGAACAGCTCTTCATCCACCCAAACAGGGCAAAGTTAGTTTTGGGGTAAAAACATCCTGGAGGAGATAAGGCTCCAGGCAGACCTTAGAGCCTGTCCTGGTGCCTAAAGGGGCTCCAAGAAAGCTGGAGAGGGACTTTGGACAAGAGGCTGGAGTGCCAGGACACAGGGAATGGCTTCCCACTGCCAGAGGAAGGCATAGATGGGGTGTTGGAATGGAATCCTTCCCTGGGAGGGTGAGCAGGCCCTGGCACAGGGTGCCCAGAGCAGCTGTGGCTGTCCCTGGATCCCTGGCAGTGTCCAAGGCCAGGCTGGACAGGGCTTGGAGCTGCCTGGGACAGTGGAAGGTGTCCCTGCCCAAGGCAAGGGGTGGAATGGGATGAGCTTTAAGGTTCCTCCCACCCAAACCAGTCGATCACTTTAACTCACATGTGCCTGGTTTGGGGCTGCACTGACAGCTGGAGCTCAGCAGCTGTGGTGTCATGGCAGAAGGTACCTGCTGCTGCCTGAGGGTGCTGCCCAGGGGACAGCTGGCACGAGCAGGGATGTCACTGACCTGGCAAGCACCAGCTGCTGGTCTGCAGGCATGGAAATCCCCGGGGCAGTGACAGCTCCCACTGCTCCAGCACTGCCCTGCTCACCCCACTGGTGTCTGTGACAGTCACAGATGGGTCCTGGGGATAAGAGGAAAACAAAGGCTGTAGCTTTGGAAAGATGCAGTGAGAGTCCTGGGGGAGATGAAGCACAACGTTACCCACTCAGGGTTATTCATCCTGAGGGGAGAAGGAGCCTGGAGGGTACCTGGACTGATGTTGGCTCTTCATGTGCTGCAGCAACAGCATCTTCATATGAAAGTGTGTGGTCAGAAATTGTTCCAGTCCGTGTGTCAGCTGAAAAGAGGAAATGTCAACAATGTTGGTAATGAGCTGTGCAAAACTAGACACAAATCTGTGAAACCATCTCCCAAAGCCTTCCCCCAAAGCTAGCAATGATGTGTCTGAAAGGAAAAGGGTTGTCATTCACCTACTTCTGTTGGTCAGTAAAAACCATGAAAAACTGAGAGGGTGTATTGGGAAAGGAATGCAGATTGTACAGGGCTGGGAGAGCCTGGCTCCAAAAATAATCAATTTCAGAGGCTGGGGGTGCATATTTGTAATCAAAGGGGGAAGAAATAAAGAACCTCTCTTCACCTCAAAAAATGATAGCACAAAAAATGAAGAATACAGGTTCAAGAATTACTAGTGGGTGATAAGTGCAGTACATTACAAACCATGCTCTGAGGCACTGCAGGTGTCCATGAAAAGCAGCAATGGAGAGGCAGAGGAGGCAGATTCTAGGATGTGAGAGGAATATCTGCCTTGCAGTGAGCGATGGTGAGGATAATCCACCGGGAGAGCAAGTGCTGCAGCACATTTGCATACGGAGGAAGAGACTGCGGCAGCCACCTCGGCCTGGGGAATGAGAGTGCAGGGGGAAGGGGACAGCACAGTGACTCTGCTCCAGAGACACTGTCCTCAGCAGGGGAACTCTGCTACGTGGGCAAAAAGCAGGTGTTTTACTCAAAAATTAGGCTTTTCATTGCCTCAAGGCTTCCAGGGTTGAATCAGGGTCAGGATGGTCCCGACAGGGAAAGAAGTCAGGGAAATAGGGAAGAGGACAAAGCTGGGACAGAGTCGTAAATCCAGCTCCTGTTGTGGATGAGCGTGGGTTGGGAGCAGGGACTGCTGCTGCCAGGCAGCACTTGCTGCAGTGGCTGCCACAGATGTGAGTGCAAAAACAGTCCCTGCTCCTGAGGGAACCTGGGCTGAGCTGCACAGCCTCCACCTGCCTCCTCCACACCTGCTTCCTTCCTGAGGAGATCCTGGAGAACAGACACCTTGAGATCAAAGTCATCCCTCAGGCTGCTGATGTCCTTCTCCGGGCGGGTGCAGGACGCCTGCTCTGCTTGGGAGCTGGCCTGGAGCTGGGCCAGCCTCTCCTGGAACTCCTGCAAGGCACAGCAACAGTCCTGTGACTGTCCCCAAGGCCACATCCAGGTCCATTCCAGGTCACACCTTATGCCCATCCCAATACAACTCCAGCACCAGCATTCACTGACTTTTCCTGTGACTTAAGTTGACACAGGAGTGAATTGTTGATGAAAGTGACTGTTCAGCCCTAAAAACGGCTGCCTTGGCTGGTTGTGGTGCCCTGGAATGAACTTTCTAAACAGCAAGGAGAGAGTTTTGTTTCCCTCTGGCTCCTCCTGGCTCTGTATTCCTCTTTTTCCTCATCTCTGTACTCTTCCTAACACCTTTGACTACTGCTGTCCTCAACTCTATTCCTCTATTTTTTGACAATTTCACATGTAGTTCCTCCAAAAATTCTGCCTGGGAATCCATTCCAATCCATCCCCAGAGAGGTAGGAACAAGAGGTGGGTTATCATAAGGCACATGGTCTCCATAACACATGGTCTGTTCATAGAAGAAGTCCAAGGATTACAAAATAAGAGAAAAAGAGAAAAAGAGAAGTGTTCTGGAAAGGCTGAACCATATTTGTAATGATCACTATGAAAAAAGTTTTTGTCAAAGCCACTCTTCCCAACTTACTTCTCTGATCAGCTGCTTCTCTGCTTCCAGATCCACCTGGGGTTTGAGGCAGGGAGCTGGATTTGCTCCCAGGTGAGCAGCCTCAGCAGGTAGAAGCCCTACAAAGCAAAGTAGAAATAAAAATCACTCACAGTCACTGGGTGGGATTGTCTGCAGAATTCCTGGAAAGAGAACAAAGAAGCTGGGTGCCAGGAAAGAGCATGGCAACCCCTGTGCTCCTTCAAACCACACTCACTGCCAAAACGCCGCCAGCCTGGGACTCCAGAGGTGTGGGGAGAGAGGGAGAGGCTCCAGCTTCAGGGAAATGTGGAGGTGAATGTAATTGTATGGTATTTATACATACAAGAATCTCTTTCAAAGAAAAACAGGACTTGTTTCCAAGGCTATGCTACAGATCTGGGAGATAAAAGACACCGGGAAGATGAAAAGTGCAAGGAAATTACCTTCTTTGTTCACAGCTATTTCTGAAAGGGGGCAGAAAGGGGGAAAAAGTCATCCTACAGCCTTATTCCCCTGCTGAACGTTGCCCTTTTATCAATGCAGGTGGCCCCCAGCCAGGGAATAATGTGCTCTGACTCCATGATTTCAGAAGGCTGAACAAATGCTTTATTAAGCTGTGTTATATTACACTAATACTATATTAAACTATACTAAAGAGATACTAAAGAAAAACCCATGACTGTCTCCAACAGTCACGACACAGCTTTTTTCCAATTGGTCAATCAGTCTAAACAACCATCAGCAGAGTCCAATTAACAAATCACTTTCGGTAAACAATTTCCATAACATATTCCACATGTGCCAAACAACAGGAGCAGCAAGTAGAGACAAGAATTGTTTTCTCTTCTTCTCTGAACTTCTCACTGCCTTCCCCAGGAAAAATACGGGGAGAGAGAATTGTGTCTCTCTCTGTTCAGAGAATGTGAATACCACACCCCTTTTTAGGGGCTAAT